TTGGTGACAATATATACCTCCAGACCAGTGGCACCGCTATGGGCACCCGCATGGCCCCACAATATGCCAACATTTCTGTTAGTCTCAAAGGTGCCACAGGACCCTCTGTTGCTTTTTACACGAAACTGTGGAACTCACTGCCACATTAAGTATCTGAGGCCAAGAATTTAAGATTAAAATAGAAATTGTATATTTGTATTGATAAAGAATAATTCACCACAACAAAAAGTTTGTGAAGGGGGGATATCAAACCTCATACTTCAGTGCTTAAGCCTCTCTCTACTGGGGATCAGGCTGAGACCAAATGTGGGGGACAGATCTGCCTACTGCTGGGTTCGAATACCTTCCTCTGAAGCAAATGGTGCTGGCCACTATTAAGAGTCTAGACTAGACTGGACTAGATAGGCCTCATGTCTGATCCAACAAGGCAATTCCTATGTTCTTCCCATTTTGGGGGGGGGTCATATTAGAGACAAAAGGGAGAAGTATAAGGGGGACAACAGAGGGAAAAGAGGAGGTGTGTGTGGTGGGGGGGAGAGGACTGGATATTAGTCAGCTTTTAAAGCTCTAAAAATAAAAAAGTTCCATTTCCCCATGAAGTCAGTGATAGCTTGGAAGTTCACCTAACCACATACCACCACTCCAAATTTAAAAGCCTAATTGGGCATTCTTACAAGACCATAATTCCTTTTTTGAACTAAAAAGTGAACAGTAGTGTAATTTTTAAAAACCCTTATGGCCAGCTGTTGGCATTGTTGATATTATAAATGTGAATTAGGCTGTATTTTTAAGTGCTAGTTGACTGTGGTTCTGACCCTGCCTTCAGTCCTTCAAACACACAGAATAGATGGTTTTAGGTTCTTGGGTTCACAATATCAGTGCTGCAAAATTCTAGAGATTCCGTTACATCGAAGGTCTAAAATAAAGTAATGAAGCACAACTGTTAATTAAGGCAGCACTATTTACTGAGCAGAAATACACTACTTGTCTGAAAACTATTTTTTTACTACCACAGATGCACCACATTTTCCTGTGTGTCTAATATGCTAGATGAATGTCTTAAGTCTCAGTCTAGTAATTCAGAGTTGATATGTTTTGTACAGGAAGGGGTCAGATGCCCAATACAGAAGCAGTCCTAACCAAAAGGCAAGTTAGGTTCTGAGTGCAAAACAACTAGATCACACTTCACTAATCTGAAGACCAGGCAAACAACAACAGTAGTAAATGAGACACTCCAAAGCTATGTTTGAGGCAAAATTATATCATTGTATTTGTAAAAGAAATACTATATATTTAAGATATAAACTAATGCTCACTGTTAAAGTTCTTTCAAATATTGTAGTGCTGGGCCATTAGTACTGTAATGGTTATGAAAACAGAAAATATGAATTCTAAAGCTCTGTTTAATAAAGAATTAAAAATTGTAAAGGACAACTTAAATAGTTACAACTCCAGCATTTTGATAATTATGAATATTAAATTTTAGCAGCTAGAAAGCTACAATCCTCAAGAAAAACCTTGTACATTTCAAAAAATATTAATTTGATTTAGATCTCTTTCATATCATTAACACTTTAATTTTGCAAATTTATATTTTATATTCATTATCTGAAAATAGTTTACAAGATTAAACAATTACACAGTTAATACCTCGCTATTATTTAAAAAGGTACAAACCCTATTTGCTGTCCTCCGACATAAGAGGAGATGGAGGAGTCCATGAGGCTTAAAGACAGAGGGGCTGTCTCTGATGGCTGAAACAGCAAAAATCTCATACCAACAGTAGCAAGAATGTGGAAGGGATAGAGATAAGCAAAGGAAGGGAGTATGTAGAGGTACGGTTCCTCAAATAGAGTGGAGCAAAATTGATTTTAAACACATCCTGAAATGAATGTTGATCTCATGGAGCAATTTAAAGCTGAGGGCGATTTGAACATAATCCTTTATATATGTGAAAAGGTAGCCAGGGCAGTAGGATTACGGAAATGTTAAAATTTGGGGGTAGGGGGAAAGACAACTTTAGAGGCCAGAGAAAAGGAAGGAAGGGAGATGAAAGCATGGTTGAGGATTTCAGTAGAGTCAAGGTAAGTGACAGCCAGGCAATCACTACAGAGATAGCTAGATCTGCACGTGCAGGAGATATGGGATGCGAGTTCATTATAAAGTATGGTATTAGGAGCAAATATAGTCTATGGTCATGTGCTGAATGGGCTCCTCTTGCTTAAGTGACACACTTAAGATAAATTTAGTTTAAATAATCCTAGAAGTTTACTGGGTAGGACTAGCACGGGTAATTTAAAAAAATTATGTCCAATTGAATATCAGCAGCATTAAAATGGTAGCTAAGGTGAAAGTTCAAGATAAGGGAAAATGTAGCTAGAAATGGCTTTTCTTTTATACTTACATTATACAATGTGACTTTCTATCTAAAGACGACATCAAATATAAATTCTACAAAATTCAGTTTCATGTTAAAGTATTAATTTTTTTAAATGTAAAGATAGTCACACAGAACTATACCTGTACTATTTGGTGTTGGAATCTGATGGTTTCCTAGCGATGTTACTGCAGGCCCAACTGCCAAGGACGAAGGTCGCTGCTCTGATTTCAACAACTGAGCAGGCTCTAGAAGGTATTTCAATATATAAAAAGAAAACAGACACATATAAGTGCAGATCCTTGCTTCGGTATGGAAGGAAACCCCCTAGTAGTTTTACAATACCTTTGATAGCCATGATATAGACAACTGTTGCCATTTTTCAAAGAGAAATATAATTATTTCCTTCTTTGCTGTTCATCTTTTCTATTTATCAATCCGTGAAGCTGGTTAGAAAGTCTTACTCCCCGCAGCCCAACCCCCCCCACCTTTATAATTTCTGGTTTATATATTTTCATATTATATTGTTCCTGCAATACAATGTATCCAAATAGGGGACATAGTAAGGGGACTGCCATAGGGAAAAGGAATAAAGAAGAAAGGAATACACAGAAGGAAGTTAACGCTCTAATCGATAGCAAAGTGTTCCCTGCAAACTTTAAAAAAAATTGAGATGTATAGTCTCTAAAGACCCCCCTTTTTTTTTTTTGGAACTGAAATGAATAAAGCCAAAGATAAAGATCAGTGAAAAAGACAACCAAAAATATTCATTTTTATTAAATAGTCAAAGTGCCATAAAAAGAACAGGAGTACTTAAAGTGCCATAGTTACATGGACTACATAACCCAGTTCACAAGCCTGAAGATGTATGCTGATGATAGAACCCATTAAAAAATAAGCCTTCATCCTTTTTGCAATTGTATATAGTTTTCATTCATTCATAGCAAATATGCTACAAAGAACTAGACAGTAGCTTAAACCAGCTAAATGTAAAAACCACATGAATATTTTTACTGAACCATCTGTCTGTGTACTGTACCTGGAAGTAAGACAGTCTGGGTGGGCATTGTAGTGATCACTGTAGGTTCCAAAGGACTAGGCTGATATACTGCATCAACAGGGTTAATAGTACTCTGAGAAAAAGAAATAAATTAAAGTCTTTTTTTTTTTTAAATATAGACACTAAAATGTGTTCCATGTATGAAGATGCCTGAATGCAAGACAGCGAAGTCCTGAGAGAGACTTGACATACAAATTAACAGTTGAAGACATGAATTATTTTGCAAGTGTTAATACTTTTTACAAAGAATACTTAATTAAAATATACTAAACTCAACTTGATGTAAACCTGAATTCTCCTGTAAAGAAGTCTAGTTTCCCTGCTTTAGTTTCTACAATTCCCTGCAACTCCCATTAATGGCCATTGTGTGCACAGAGGAAGAAGTGAGCCTAATTTTTCAACAAGACCATCAGATATGTAAACTATCATTTAGAAAACAAAACACTGTCCAGACTGCACTAAGGAACTACATAAAACTGTAAAATCACCACCACATTACTGGGCATACCTTTGACAAAAAGCATTTTTCATGGATTTACAGTGTTCATCTCAACACAGGCACTCTGAACCCAACCCCACTTCCATTAAAGTCAATGGAAATCTATTAACTTCAGTAGATACTGGATCAGGTCCTAGCAGAACAAGCATCTTAGAAACATATAATGCAAGGGCCTTTGAGCCAAACAACTTGTATGATTGTTCCTCACTTCACTGTTCTAATATTTTGTTATATAATATACCTATGGCTCCCTGCCTCTTTACATGCAAATGTCTTGGACTGCTATATTTAGGCTTAGAAGGATTGGCTTTTTATTGGTAAATATCAGTAAACATCAATCTCACTGTACACACATAAACCAATGAAAAAATATTTCTATCAATAACTGAAATTTAGAGATAGAAAAAGAAAGAAAAATGCTGCTTGAGAATTTAGTAGAGTCAAAATCCAGTGATTTAAACTTTTGAATTAGGATGGTTACAAATGGACCAGTGAATAGTAAAAACAGGTTTATTTTCTGGATTTAAGGCTATTTACTTTGTGTATTTTGACATGTGATATTGACAATTTGTGTTTTAGTAGTTTAAAAAGCTTTACTTTTTGAAGTTCATTGTCTACTATCAAATATTTATCTGACAATTTCCTGCAACTGTAAACACTTTTTAATCTAATTAAGTTTTCAAAGAATACTTAACTTTGATATCCTCAAAATTATAAAAAAAATATAAAATTGAATTCTGCCAAGTCTAGCTATATTCGTTTTTGTTATTAACTAGGTATGTAAAGGTAGATCCTGTCCCTACCTCAAATATTTTGCCATTTAAGGTCATGCAGATTTTATACCCAAGAACTCTGCATGGATGTGCTAGAAAATCCTGATGCCAGACTGGGGCCTAACTAAACAAGGACTAGGGATAGGAGCCAATCTGAGATTTTATCCGTTGCTATTTTTCTTGCTTATATATGTTTTTCATCCTTCCTTATTCACCTTTATTAATTCTCTGTCTCTTTTAAAAATCTACACTTACTTTCTCTCATTTATCTAAGTCCAGATTTACCTTTAACATTTTAAAATTTATTGCTCTATTTTCAGACCAATTTTCATGGCCCGTTGTGGTGGTTGTGTTTTGTTTTTACAAATGCCCTATTTAAAAAGATAGATGTTTAAAAAAATAAACTACACCTCTACCCTGATATAATGCGACCTGATATAACACGGGTTCGCATACAACGTGGTAAAGCAGCGCTCCGGCAGATCAGCGCATCAGCTCCCAGCCACGGCACTCCGCTTCCCGCCGCCGGTGAGCGTGGGGAGGTTGGGGAAAGGACGCCCCCCATACTCACCTTCAGCGGGAAGTGGAGCGCCGCAGCTGGGAGCTGGCAGAGTGGAGCAGGCTGCTCTGCTTCCGCTGTTGCCGGTGAGTGCAGGACCTTTCCCCAAC